TATGTATCTAGGAATCTGTCCATTTCTTCTGTGTTTTCCATTTTATTAGAGTACAGGTTCTCAAAGTAGGTATTGATGATCCTCTGGATTTCTGCTGGGTCTGTTGTGATTTCCCCTTTTTTGTTCTTAATTGCATGGATTTGAGCCTTTTCTTTCCTTTTTTTTGGATAAGGTTGGCTAAAGGTTTATTGATTTTATTTATTCTTTGAAAAAAAACAACTCTTTGATTCATTAATTTTTTGCATCATTCTCTTAGTCTCCATTGCATTGATTTCTGCTCTGATCTTTATAATTTCCTTTCTTGTACGAGCTTTGGATTCCTTATGGTCTTCTTTTTCTAGGAGGTTGAGGTTCTGCATTAGGTTATTTAACTGAGTTCTCTCTGTTTTCCTAATATGGGCATTCACTGCTATGAATTTCCCATGCAGAACTGCTTTCATTCTCTCCCATAGATTCCTGTATGTTGTATGGCATTATTGTTTCCTTGTAGAAACTGCCTAATTTCTTCTTTAATTTCTTCTGTGACCCATTGGTTGCTCAGGAGGGTGTTATTCAATTTCCATGTGTTTGTGGGAGTTTTGCGGTTTCTTATGTTATTGATCTCCAATTTTATTGCCCTATGGTCTGATAATATACAGGGGATAACTTCAATTCTTTTACATTTACTTACACATGTCCTATGAGCTAGCATGTGATCTATTTTTGGAGAATGACCCGTGTGCAGCTGAAAAGAATGTGTATTCTGATTTTGTGGGGTGGAACACTCTGTAAACATCTATTAAATCCATTTGTTCAATACCTTGGTTCAGTTCTAGAATTTCATTGTTAATTTTTTGTCTAGATGACAACACTCTTCACAGAGACAGAAAACAGATTACTGGCTGGACGTGATGGTCCATGCCTATAATTCCAGCACGCTGAGAGGCTGAGGCAGAAGGATCACAAATTTAAGGCCAGCCCAGGCAACTTAGGGAGACCCTTTGTCAAAATTTTAAAATAAGAACAAAAAAAAAAATGGGGCTGGGGATGTGGTTCAATGTGAAGACCCTTGTACTGCACTTGCAAGATATAACAACTGGTCATGAAAGGACAAATAATGTGAGATTCTACTTACAGGATGTACCTAAAATTGTCAAATTCCCATGGACAGAATGTAGACAAGTGGCTGCCAGGGGATGGAAGAAGTCAGGGATGGTGTTTTCACAGGTGTAGCACTTTGGTTTCACAAGAGGAAAAGCATTGTGGAGACTGGTTGCCCAACTGTGCTAATGAACTTAACATTACTGATCTCCACACTTAAATGGTAGGATGAGAAAACACTGCATGTGTATGTTTCATCACAGTGAAAAATAGAAATAATCTTATTGTAAATGGTAATCATTGGAGCCAAAGGATGCCTCAGACCTCTTCATACTATCCTTGTCACTTTGTATGAATCTATAATTATTTTACAATAAAAAGTTTCAGAAGGAATACATTTCAACCCAAATCATCAGCATTTGACTCCTATATAACCATCAGTCCACCCTTCCAGTTCTAGGAACCAAAGCTCATTTCTTGTGGATCTTGCACAACTTAGTCCTCATGGTTGCTTCATCTTCAGGCGTCTTCACTGGACTCTTGCAATTCAAGAGCCACCATTCTTACTTTAAGACATTTTCATCTAGAAGTTGGATAATCACGTGTTAATTTGTTACTCTGTATCCTAATGGCAGTGAATTAACACTTGAAGTTCTGAGTCACGAATACACCGTCTGGGGTTTCTTAGTTGACAAACTGAAGAACTAGAAGGCTGCCTGGTGCCATGACACACACATGTAATCCCAGCTTCTGGAGGCTGAAGCAGGAGGATCAAAATTCAAAGACAGCCTGGACAACTCACTCAGCAACAGAGCACTTGCCTAGCATGCATGAGGCCCTGGATTCAATTCTCAGGATTGCACAACAAAAGAAAACAAGAACTGGAAGCCATACACCCAAGACAGCTACTCCAACTACTTTTTGTTAAATTCACTCAGCACTGGAGGCTTTATTATTAGCATGGTGATGCTAAAATTGTTTTTCAGTCAATGATACATGTGGTAATCACAGCATAGGGATGTGTTAGGGATAATAGGTGGGCACCTCCTGCGTTGCGCGAACAAGGTGTGAGCAACTGGTCACCCTGAGAGAATAATGTGCTTCAGACCAGCACCCGGGGCTTAGGACTGGCAGCCCTGAGACAGACCATGAGCAGGGGAAGCTGTCCTCACTTTCCAGAGTGCTGGCTGAAGCCTGCAGCTCAAATAATGGTCCACTGATCTCAGTAAGACCTCATGGAGGTGCCCATTGTGGGAAAAACAGAGCAGGAATGTGATCACATTCACAATGCAGATTGCGTGACTATTTTGTGCTTCAAAGTCTATATGTGCTGCAGGATTCCATTCAGCTGTGTTTTCATGGAGCTTGACAGCAGGCTTTTGGGAGGAACCAAAGTTCTCATTTGCCTGTAACACGGAGGATAGTGCATCTCCCAAAAGAACTCAAAGTTGCAGAAAACAGGTGACTTAGTTCCACTCACAAATGGTGCTTCACCCTTGATGTTTCTCTGCCACCAACCATCTTTTCTGTGTCTGCTGTGTCTTTTTTGTGGGATTTTGAGTGTTTACTCTGGGTACTTGGCTATGTTGGCAGGTGCACTTGCACCTCCTTTCTGGTGCAATTGCTGCTGGTCCCTCTGTGGCCCATGGTTTCATCACCCTTCAGCACCATCCCTGTCTTGCTAATCAGCCTCTCATAGAGGCTTTTAAGGTCCTGGAGGCCAGATCTCACTCATCCATGCGGCATCAGCTCAGAGATAGCTAGTGCTTGAGGGAAGGAACGGTGGCCCAGCAGGGCATGTGAAGACTGCATTGTGACAGTACACATCTTAGTCACAATCCTCCTTGCCAGGACAAAACACCCAACACCCACAATGTAAGGGAGGAGAGGTTTATTTTGGTTCATGTTTCAGTCCACAGCTGGCCAGTTCCAAGGCAGGACCGCATGGCAGAGAGACATGGCAGAGAGAGCTGCTCATGGCGTGGCAGACAGGAAGTGGAGAATGAAGGCAGGAGCCAGGGAGGAAGATAAACCCTTCCAAGCCACCTCCCAATGACCAGACTCTTCCAACCAGCCCCACCTTCCAGCAGGTGAGCTCTGACCCCATAATCCAATTACCTTCCAAAAGCCCCACCTATGAGCGTATGAGGCTCTTGGGGGATATCTAGATATAAACCATAAGAGTACGCCCCTGACAATGCAACAAGCAGATAAACAAGGCCATGCATTACACACACGCGCACGCACACACACACACACACACACACATACACATACTGTAAACTCCTCAGTTTACAATGGGTTACATCCTAATAAATCCATGGTAACATGAAAATATAAGCTAAAAATGCATTTAATATACCTAATCTACCAACATCGTAGTTCACCCTCATGTGCTAGCTTTCCATCACTATGACAAAATACTGGAGACAATCAATTTTAAAGGGGGAAAGGTTTATTTTGGCTCATGGTTTCAGAGGGTTTGAGCCATGGGTTATGGGCTTCAAGGCAGAGAGAGCATGGTGGAATGACCTGGTGGAAGGAAACTGTTCATGTCATGGCAGCCAGGAGGCAGACAGAGAGAGAGAAGAGAGGACCCAGGGACCTGAACATATCCTTCCATGTCACACCCCCAGTGACTACCTTCAACCAGGCCCCACCTGGTTCACGTTCAGCCATGAACTTATTAATGGAGAAATCCACTGATGAATATAGCACCCCATGATCCAGTCACTCTGAATACGTGAGGCTTTTGGGGAACACTTTAGAGACCTCACCTCCTAAAGTTTTATCATCTACCAGTAGTGCCATGGGCTAGGAAAGATACTTTAGGAAACACTGAAGATCCAAACTATAGCAGTTAGCCTACCTTACATGTGCTCAGAAGACTTACCTGAGTCTACATCTGGGCAAAATCATCCAACAAAGACTTTTACAATAGAATGTTGACTATCTCATGGAACTTACCGTGTGTACTGTACTGAAAGTGAGAGTCAGAGTGGTTGGGTAGGTTTCACACCAGTGTAAAGACAAAAAATGGTTAAGTCAAAATGTCTACATCAGATTTTAGCAGCCAAATTTAAACTCATGTAAAATCTGCAGCGTTAAACACTCCCTAGGAAAACTTTGAGGCCAATCTAGGAAAGTATGAATAATAAAGAGACAGCTGGCTAGGAAACAATATCTCTCACATTTCCTGCCCCTTTTTTCCCCCAGAAAAAAAAAAATTGATATCTGAGGGAATTTCAGACTGAAGCAAGAATGGGAAATAAATACAGTGTGATCCCAAATTCCCGTTGATGAGATGCTCAGGCCTTGTGCTGGACGCCATCATTTTATTGGATACTAAAAATACAGCTTTTATTTTAGATGATGGCTTGGAAAGGAAATGCTCTAAATCTGGAGGCCTGCTCCCCTCACGAAAGGTAAGAGTGGCAGCGGTGTCTGGCACTGAGTACATGGAGGTCCCTGCCTGGTGGTCCGACCAGGCCACAATGGGCAGGTAGCGACAGAGGTCAGCAGGGAGGTGGGTTGGCAGCGGACGGCTGTAAAGATTGCTCAATGTTCCTAGCAGGACATCGGCACCCTACTTCCAGGTATGTGCTCCCAGTGGCTGGATATTTATGGCTTTAGGAGACCAATGGCTGATTCTCAACCTCCCTGGGCCCCTTTTTGTAATAAATACTTTGTGGGGTTTTTTTCTTTTTGGGTTTTTGAGACAAGGTGTTGCTATGTAGTTTAGGCTGGTCTTGAAGTCACTGTGTAGCCCAAATTGGCCTGAAACTCGTGGCAATTCTCCTGCCTCGGCCTCTCGAGTGCTTGGGTAGCACTGGTATTACAAGCATGCACCACTGCACCCAGCTTGGAATAAATACCTTATAATGCCCCATTTACTAAAGTCAAATAATACCTCGTTTATGCTGCCTGTACATAATTTTTTTAAAGTAATGTCTAAACTTTAGAATAAAAGAAATATAAAATAATATTTAGTTCAGCCCATAAACTTCAGACACGGTTACATTAGAAGACACATCTGAGTGTAAAGCGCACGCAGCTGTGTTGATTGAGGCTGACACGTGTCCATTTTACGGATGATTCAGACCCCGCGCATGCGGCCTGGTCATGGGTGCTGGTGACTTTTCAGTCTTTTCCAGCAGAAGTCCAGACGGTGGCGCTAGAGAGCCCCGCATGCTTCCCCGGCCGCACGGGCTCGGGATTCGGGCAGAGCTGACTCAGCTCTAAAGAGGTGACGCAGCAGTGCGGCTGACAGCGACGTCAACAGCAGCTACTATTTATAGGATAATTAGCGAGCCCTGTGCTATATGCTTTTCATTTCGTTTTAACAACCTATTACAGGTGAGAAAACGAGTTTCGCCAGTTGCAGGGAGCGCAGTCAATTAGAAATCACTGAAACAGGGCCGGGCGCGGGGCAGAGGTTGCTAACCACGCGGGGCCCTGCAGCCCGGGGACTCCGCGGGGAATCGGAGCGACCCGCGCCCTGGCCGAGCCCTGCCGAGCCTTGCCGAGCCCTGCCGAGCCCTGCCCGAGCCCTGCCCGAGCCCTGGCCGCGCCCTGGCCGCTTCCCTGCTGCCTGGATCGAACGGACCGAGGCGCTGAGACGCTCCCAGGATGGGTCTCCAGGGCCAAAGGGGGGCAGCGATTGACCCCAACTGTGACCGCCGAGAGGGACGCGGCTGGTGAGGGGACCTCGCCTGGCAGGGCCCATGCTAGCTCTGTCTTGCAATGCAGCCACCACAGCCGGGCTGGACGACGTCTCCGTTGCTACCCCTCTCCCCCTTCCTGATCCCGCGTCCGGCCGCTCCCCGGAGATCATATGTTGTCGCCTCTTACTTTTAACTCTTTCCCTGCCATCTGCGCCCTCCCGAGACTTCCTGGGACTCTGCTGTCTGCCGGTCACCTTCCTCCTGTGCCTGCGAGTCTGACGGGCAGGAGCCTTAAGCCCGAGCCCGCGAGCCCCGTAGTTAATGCGGTGATGGTGCCCGGCGCTCGTAAGTAGGGCAGCTGTCCTGTTCTCCTCCCCTTGCACAGCATCGTCTTGGTCCTCACCCCACCTGCTCAAGCAGGTGTTATTCTTCTCCTCATTCTGCAGCTGCGGAAGTGGAGGCCTGTCACCCACCTGGAATGTGGCAGAACCGGGACTTCGCCCCAGGTCCTCACTCCGGGCCAGCGCCCTCCCTCAGCACCGGCCCTGAGCTCCCAGCGACTCCCTCCTCACGTCCTACTCTTGGGAGCTCGGTGTCCAAAGTGCTAAAGCAGTTCCTTTAAAAAACAGCAAAATACTTGCACTTTCTCCCAAAGTAGGCAAACAGCTTCACACTCGTGCACCAGTCTAAGACTTGGAAGGTAAGGCCAAGCCTCTCAGAGAAGGTGTTATGTTTCCTGGGCCACTCGGGGGCAGCAGAGAGGGTCCAGCAGGGGAGGGAGACTGAGAGGTCTAGGGGTGGCCCCCGTCCCTTCACATCCCTGGTGTATTCCTGGGAGCACGAAATACTCAGAAGAAGATGCCCAGGTCCAAAGAGATACGGTGAGGAGGAGGACCTCAAAGGCCAAGGCAAGCATGTGAGAAATCGAAGGAAAACTCCCTGAGTTCCTGGAGCCAGAAGTCATGAGTTTGAGAGCAAGGCTGGGGGGGTGGGGGTGTCTGTGTTCAAGGTTAAGGCCCTAGATGCTGCCCACACTGCAAGCCACGTCCCTGGTGCATTGACTCAGATGGGCAGAAATAGCATCGTCACTGAGGGACAATGCATGGAGCCTGGTAGCGAACCCAAAGTGAATCCGGAGTCCAAAGGGGGCCAGCAGAGATAGAAACCCAAATGTGGACTTAGCAAAGCACACAGGCAAGCAGGCTCCAAGAGAGCTGATCCCCCGCGGGCAGTGAGATGGAAGGCCTGGAGCGGCCTCGGGTGCCAGGCTCTGGGATCACTTTTGTCCTCATTTCCCGCTGCTGGTGGGTGAGGGAGGCTGTGCTGGCCATAGCCAGGCCTCCAGGGCCAGTGGCAGGGATTAGAACTTCAGTCACTGTCTCCAAGGGGACAATAAGCTCCCGAAGCAAGGGCTGGTGAAGCACCACCTTCCTAATAGTCGACCCGACTGCTTTCCTTCTAGATGCCTCGGGTTGCAGCAAAGCAGAGAGGGCAGGATCCAGAGGCTCTGCTGGGCCCTAACCTCTGGTGTAAAGCTATCCAGGGGAACCTCCGGGAGGGGAAAAGGTCCCGGGTGCCTGCCCCAGTGAATGGGGTTAATGCCCTACAGAAGAGGCCTAGAGAGTGTGTTTCCTTTCCTCCACTGAGGGTACAGAGAGCAGGCAGCACCTTTGAAGCAGAAGCCAAGGCCTCCTACACACCCGATCTGCTAGTGCCTTGACTCTGGATGTCCCAGCCTAGGATTGTGAGCAATAAGTTTCTGTTGTTTATAAATCATCTGGTCTCAGTTTTTTTCCTTCTTCTGGCAGCCCAGCCAGACTAAGATGGCTCCTTGGTAAGACATTAGTACCCGTCTTCCTGAAGCCTTGGGATGATACACTGGTTTGGATCTAAAATGGTCCCCCAAACCTTATGCGTTTGGAAGGTGATGGGATTATGAGGCCGTACAGCTGGCTTGCTGTGGGAGTGGGATGTGGCTGGAGGACAGGGGTCACTAGGGTGTGGCCTGGAAGGGTCTGTCTCCCTCCTCATTTCCGCCCTTCCTGCTCTCTGCTTCCCACTCACCATGCCCAGAGCAAGCAACCCTCCCAAAACTCCTGTCCGCTTCCTGGTCGCCATGCCACGAGCAGCTCTCCTCTGCCCAGGCCCTTCCGCTATGTCGCCCTGCCTCGAGCCAGCTGACCATGGACTGAGACTTCTGAAACAGTGAGCCGAATAAACCTCTCCTTCTTTAACTTGTGGGTGTTGTGTCTCCGAGAGGAGAAAGTGCCTGAGGCATAGACATGGCCACTGTAGGCAAGAAGGACCCAGCTTCTAGACTTCCAAGCTGGAAATACTCCCAGGAGAATAGCGTGATCTACCAAATGTCCCCAGAAAAATGCAGCCCTTTCTGGTGCATGGGACCTGAGTATGTGCAAGGAGACCTCCACGCTTTTATTACTTTTTTCCAATAATTTTTATTCTTTATTAAATCAATGACATAGGGAAAAGTCAGCCTGCCCTGTGGATACGCCAAGTTGAATGGCTTTTCATTTGTTCAGCTCTACTTTCTGCTCATTGTATGGGCATATATCATTTTTATGTAGCTGTGATCACAGTAGCGTATAGTTTAATGAATTCTTTTTATCAGTTAAAATTAAATCATAAGCACTCTTTATGCTTTACCATCTTTGTTACTGTCAGTGGCTCTGTCTGCCTCTCTGAAGTGGACTTCTAGGTTGCTCTCAGGTTTTCCCTGTTGGACCTAATTTTGTGATGAGCATGCTGATGTGTTACCCCAACCGCCACTCAGGATCAGAGTCCAGAAGCCTAAGGGAGACGGAGTTCGAGACTGGTGATTTTTCCATCGATTCTTTCCATGAACCAGTGTGCAATGGACAGTGGAAAGAGAGCCAGGGGTGGGGGACAGGAGAAACAGAAGATGCTGTGTTTGTCCTACAGTGGCTCCGAGGCAGCAGGCCTCATCTTTTGTAGGGAGGGGTGAACAAGCAGAAGTGAAAGTGTCTTTCTGAGGAAAGGTCTTAGGAGACCTGGGGCAGAGGAGTGTCACTTCCTGGTGCAGGCATGAAAGCCACAGTGGCCCTGGGATGGAGGAGCCAGGGAGCTGGGCAGAGCTGCCTTGTCCAGGAAAGTGCCTGGATGGAGCATTTCCATGTGAGTGAGCAGCAGGTTCCAGCCTGAGGACTCACTGCAGCTGCCCGAGGTGGACCTGGTGCCTGGCACGGCTGAGGCACTGACCGAGGACTCTGAGAACTGCCTGGGGGCTTCGTGGCAGGGCCTCAGGGCCTCCAGGTCTGTGGCCACTCCACATGTCTGTGGTCCGTGGACATCACTGTCCGTGGGTCTCATCTGCACCCACAGGGTAGTCAGGCTAGGAAGAGTCACGTCTTCCTTGGGGGATTATTTTCCTTCTAGCTTTCTAGAAGCGAGATTACTGGGTCAAAAGGCACTAAGCCTCTTCCCCAGTGGGATTCCCAGAGCCAACTCTCAGGCCCAGCCACCATGTTCTTGTTTTTCCTCCTCACTGCAGGCCTAGGGACTCACAGAGACTGGAACTTCCTGGAGAGTTTCCACCCTCTCAAGAGAAGCACAGATGCCATACCCTGATGACAAAAAGAAAAGCCAGGATGGAGAACTGGAGCCCACCCTACTGGCATAAAAATTTTGCAGGTTCACTAACGCCCGTGGAAAAAGAATTTTCAGGACACATCAGTAAAGGATCAAAGGGATTAAGTAGAATTTTAAAAATACACACTCAAAGAAATAGGGTGCAGGCCCTCAAGAGAGAGAGGCCTATCAGTCTGGGACTGGGTATGTTTATGGGGACTTTCGGGTAAAAATCTGTCTAATCTATAAATGTATGGAAAGAGGAGCTAAAATACGGAGGAAGGGATGGTGGCTCATTCGCAGGTGACAGCCCTCATTGGTGATAGGGGAAAAAATTCATTTTGTAAGTGAAAAAAAATAGCCAAGCCCACTTCCATGTAGAAAGGAATGGCCCAGACTTACCCTGTCTTTAAAGACCATAGAAATATTTTTGGACTGGGTTTGTGTTCTGAACCCACAGTTTTTATTAAAAGCACAATTTTGTTTGTATGTTTTGAGATAGGGTCTTGCTATGTAGTTCAGGCTGGCCTTGAACCCACTATGTAGCTCAAGCTGGCCTCAGACCCACAGCAATCCTCCTGCCTCAGCTTCCGGAGTCCTGAGATTACAGGTGTGCACCATCACACCCAGCTCTCAAAGTATACTTCTAAAATTATGATTTTCCTTGTATCCTTTTTACCTATCTTTATTTTTTTCTATTGTACCTCAGAACGTACTACTGGAAAAGATACTGGAATGGCAGGGCCATATCCCACTGGGATGAAGAAAAACACTGTGCATAGAGAGGGTGGGGTGTGAGCAACTGCATTTAAAAGATACCAAGGTGAGGAAATAAAAGATATAAAGGAAAGGAAGTAGAGCTCCCGCTAGCCAGGAGGGGGTCCCAGGATGGCTCTTTGTCTAGGAGACTTTAAGGGGTTTAGAAGGGAGCTCGGGCACTTGTATAGGGAGATTGTTATACAATCTCCCTATAGGAGATTACTGGCTTTTCAGGGTCCAATCCCTGCAGTGTTCACGAAGTATCTATGCAGGGCCTGAGCCAATGGCCTGGCTGATCACAGTCCCGGGAGGTCCTGGACAGGGAAGGACACCTGGCAGGTGTCTCTGTAAGCTCCCTGGAGGTCATGACCCAGCAGGCTGCACTTGGGGGCAATGTGCTCACGGCCCTAATAGAATCTTGAGTGCTGTCCCACTACTTCGTGTCTCAGGGTCACCTCAGTTTGTAGGGTGAGCTAGCACCCTCTGTGATACTGACAGACGACGTCCCTCCCAGATTTCCCCTCTCCCTCTTGTCTTTTCTCTGGCCAATACCTGCATGTGTACAATAGAGCAGTTAATAACCAACATGGGGTGCATGCATAGACGCAGAGAAGATGACATCTTCACTGTTATTCACCTCTTGGGGATCCAGCATTTCCTCCCCTTCTGAATACAGGCCCAAAATAAATAAATGAAGCCACAGTCGTGGTAGCAATACCTGTGGCTCTGCAACTCCGGTTTTACAGCACTCAGGGAGTCTTCAGGTATTTCCATTCCACTGTACATGTGTTAGACTTGCCATGACCTCTGGCAGCTTAACATGCATGTAACAAAGCAAACAGATTACTAATATGATTCTGTGCTTCAGTCACTTTTTCAGTATGTGGCTTTCTTTTGGGCTTCTGGTATTATCATTTATGCATTGAAAAATCTTATTTGGAAGCAGTCAAAGATTTTACCTAATTGACAGGAAGTTGCATTGGCAGGGTGACCGAGAACTTACCAGTGTTCAGGGCTAAAAACAAGGCTGAAGGGCCGGGGATTTAGCTCAGTGGTTTCATCGCCTGCTGTACAAGCACAAGGACCCAAATTCAATCCCTGGTACCAAAAAAATAAATAAAATAAAATAAAATAAAAATAAAAACAAGCCTGGGCTGGAGTGAAGACAGTTGTCCCTGGGTGTCCCCAGATCCCTGAAAATGCCCAAATCCGCAAAGCTCAAACCTTTCTATAAAGTGGTGCCATGTTTACAAACAACCTACATACATCCCTTATACTTTAAATCATCTGGTAACTAATAGCTCTTAATACTAAACACAACGTCAGTTCTATGTTAGTAGCTGTTAGACTGAATTTCTTAGAGACTAACAGCAAGAAAAGGCCCGTGACCGTTCAGCACAGACACAACTGTATTTTTCAAATATTCTCCATCCACCCTCGGTTGAGTCCACAGCACAGAGGGCCAACTGTACCCTGCAAATAGTATCTTGAAAAGGTGCCTTGATTTTACCCCATTTTTCTAGGTGTCTCTGTCTTCCAGGAAGATGAGGAAGCTGGGAGCAGGGCAGCACTTTACCTCCTCCCTGTAAGTCAGGAGTTTTGCCTTTATCTAATGTGCCCCTGGAGTTTCCGGATAGGACTCCGCTGGAAGAAAACTTCCCAAGCAAGGCTGTAAACAGCACCTGTCAGGCAGTGCAGCCCACTGAAGGCAACTGGGTTTTGTATTATTTGTCAGCCACACAAAGAGAACAAGCAGAGCCGAGTGGACTAGGTTACTAGTGTGACGGATATTGGCACAGGTAAGGTTTAGGGAACAAGTGGTCGGGTGGTGCAGTCCATGGGTCCACTACCCCCCGCAGAGCTGGAGAAGGGAGGGCAGAGGGTCTGACAAGGCCAACAAAATGCCCAGCGCTGTTGCTCTTTGAACCACAGATGCCAATACCAGCCACAGCTCCAACATCTGGACGGAAGGTATCAGAATCTCTGTCCTCACCATCAACATTCATGCCACTTGCAAAGCTAATATAGAATGGTTATGCAGAAGCTGGATTCAGTGGTCAGCAGTGCAGATGAGAGGGGAAGGCACAGGGAAAGAGAAATTCCATGCTAGGCTAAGGGTGGGAAAGTCTACATTCCTCCATATACCGTGTTGCTAGTAAAGCCCAGGCTTAGGGAAGAGGCTGGGGGGCGGGGAGCACACTTCTCTGACTTCAGTGAACTTTGTAGTAGAGCTGACAGTATCCCACACCCGCCAGGGGCAGGTCCCTGGGAGAAAGGAAGCATGACACACCAGTAATGGGGCTCCAGGGTGGGGCAGGACACAATCTACCATCTGGCACCGAGCTCCAGTGAGAGCTCTAGGCCATCATAGTCTCCGCCTGTCCCCTCCTAGCATAGGAGTGGTCACAAAGCCATTAAACCAGCTGTTTATGACCCTGCGTGGGCCCACGGTGGCTCAGCCCCAGCTGAGGGGCTCACAGACCTGTGACACTGCGTGCCGGTGCTGTTCTGTGTGCACTGACACAACCCAGTTCCCTGGTGATAAGTACTGTACAGTAGAGCTTGGCCACCACTGTCTGACGGCCAGACCTGGCACCCGAGGTCTGCCCTGCTGCCTGCATCCCCATGCCAGGGTCTCAAGTTCCCCTGTCAAGACTGTAGAGAAGCTGACCGTGGGTGTTGGTCTCGTGGACTGCAGCTCCTCGTCGGAGGTCCAGGCGCAAGTCCACAGAGAGCAGGACACCGACAGTCCCTGTGAGCAGGAAGCACTGTGCTGATCATAGCAGCTCCCCTCCCAGTCCCCACACCTGGGCTCCACGGGGAAGCTGAGGTGAGTAGTAGGTGGGAAGGGTGGCAGGGGCTGGGGCTTGACAGGCCAGCCACAGCGCCATGATCTTGCCAGGTAAAACCCCAGGCACAGAGGCTGGACCACACAGCCGTCCCACAGGTGACTCCCGTAGCACAGCAGTGGAACAAGAGGGAAGTCTCCCCTCCCTCTCCCGCACATTTCCACTTCAGCTGTCTCCATTCTGCTCCCAGAATGGTGACCTGCTTTATTGCTAATGCACATCTCTGCTGACATCCATCATCCTTGTGATTCGAGAAAGATTCCAACAGCTTCCCCATTCTAACAGCGTCCACTACCATTGCTTCTGGAAACCAAGGGTCCTGGACAACCTCCCATTAGAGGGGCGTGAAGGAGGCTGAAAACACCCGGGACTTTAACAAAGTCCTGGGACATAAAAGTCAGAGACTGAGTACACAGGATGCAGGCTTGGAAAGAGCATGGTCCTGGGCATTAGCTAATGTATGAGTCAACAAAGTGCTAGAAAGCAATGCAGATTGCAAACAAGATTTGGACAAAAATGAAGACAGACTGAGATGCCAGAAGGCAGAGAAATATCAAAGGAAATGGGTGAGGTGAAGCACATAAAAACTAAAAATCCAATAAAACAATTGAGCTCTGCGTTACCATCGGAAAAGAGCAGGGATAAAACTGCAGAAAACACAAGCCAAGTATAAAGAATGAGTTAACCAAACTCCATGATAATACAAAAGAAACGAAAGATAGAGTGAAAACCAGCAGATGAGAATACCAGAGGAGGTTAACTGTCTTGTCTCTGAAGAAGAATCGAGAACCAAGGAAATAAAAACAGAGTCCTGTGCATATGGTGTGTGACACATGAAGCTTGTGGTTTCGTTCCTCTGAAGGAGTAGCATGTGATAATAACCTACAGCTCAGATTCTCAAGTGAAACAGACCCAAGTTCAAAAATCTCTATTGTCGACATCCTATGTCCCTGACCCGAATTTCCTCACCTGCAAAGTGGTGGGTGACCATACTGCCACCTCTTAGGGTTGTCCTAAGAGAATGCAGACAGAGCACTTTGCAGTATCTGTTGACAGTATCAGCATTTCAGAAGGGCTCACTGAATACCACACAAAGTTAATGACAAGACCAAGCCGTAAGTACGGTCGGAGAGTTTGTAAACATGAAGGTCCCAGCAGAAGTTCTTATAAGTATTTGAGAGAGAAAGGTTGTAAAGGGGGAAGAAACCTAGCCATCTTCAACTTTACCCGTTAAACCATATTAAATGCTAGAAGAATGTAGTCAGCTATTCGTTTTGAGAAAATGGAGTAGTTAATCAAGATTATGGACTTGGCAAATTGCTATTCATGTATAAAAACAAAGAAGCAGTCTCAGCTCTCCAGCAAGTTAGAAAGAAGATTTTCTCTATATCTCATTTATTCATTTATTTATGATTTCATTGATGGATTACAGTGTGTGGATTGAACTCACGACCTTCCCCATACCAGACAAGTGCTTTACCACTAAGCTACATCCCAACCCTATTTAAAATTTTTGTTTTGAGACAGGGTCTCTTTAAATTGCCCTTGAACTCACAGCCCCCTGAGTAGCTTGGATTACAGGCGAGCACCACACCTGGCTCTCTATCTTTCTTAAGACAAATACTGTATTCTTGGCTTTCTGTCATTGTGATAAAATATCTAAGAGAAACAACTTAAAGGTGGAAAGGGTTATTTTGGTTCATGGTTTCAATCCATAGTCATCTGGCCCCATCCCTTTGGGCCTTTGTGGAGGCAGTAGAAAGAGGGGCTCACTTTATGGTGGCCAGAGGGGAGGGGGGGAGCATCCGCTCAAGGGAAACTGCCAGTGATGTCACTTCCTTCCCTGGACCCCACAGGCTGGCGACCGGGCCTCCAGTAGATGAGTCTTCGCAGGACATTTAAGATCTAAGCCATACAAGGGCCAAGGATTTAGCTCAGTGGTTCCACTGCCTGCTTTGCAAGCGCAAGGTCATGAGTTCGATCCCAGTACCAAAAAAAAAAGATCTAAGCCATACAAATATCAACAGGATTTTTACAGAAAACAAGATACAGAACAAATAAAGAATTTAACAACTAATTTGTGCTGTAAAAGGATGGATAGTGAACATTAAATCCTGCTCTCTTTCCCCCAAAATAAGGCCTACCCGGAAAATAATCAGGCTTGAAAACTAGAGATCAAAAACGCCAGCCCCAAGCAAAAACGCCTATCCCTTCTTGCCTTACCTGCATCACTGTTCTCTGGCTCAGTGGCTACTCAAGGCAGGTAAAGTGAGAACAGTCTTATTTTCAGGGAAACACGGTATTATATGTGCCACCAAAGCCTAGAGAATGGCTGGAGATAAGATTGGAAAGTACATCAAATTCCAAGAGGCAGTTAAGTCTAACCTAACCTCAGATGCAAAGCCAGATAATGCCAAAAAAAAAAAAAAAAAAATAGAAGCAAATGTAAAACAAAAGCATGCTGCGGTTTCATCTTGTTTGGGAGGGAATCAATAGAATCTGTTTCATTCTTACCATGTGTAATAATAGAATTATGGATTCAAGTACAATTTTAATTATATGGTAAGCTCTGGTACAATTAGGAAATATATGTTGTACTAGGTAGGCTGACTGTTTTTTATTTGGGGTGTTTGGGGGGAGTGGGGGGGTGTGCATGTGTGTGTGTGACAATGATCAGTATGTATTGCAGACTGGCCTTGAGCTCATTATATACCCAAGGCTGGCCTCAAACTCACAGTAATCCTCTTGTCCCAGCTTCCTGAGTGCTGGGATTATAGGCGTGTGCCACCATGCCTGGCTCATGACTGCTTTTTTAAAAAGTCCCACAGCCCAGTGACTAATGGCAATGAAATGGATTTCCAGCTCATGGAAGTATTAGTC